CTAATTTGTGTTAAAAGCGTAACTTAGGGCTGTAATGTGGGCTGGGCCAGGTCCTAAATGGGCTTTGTGGGTCGGCCCTAAGTGGGCCTGGGCTTCGTGGGCCGGTCCTAAGTGGTCCTGGATCTATGTGGGCTTTTTGTAGGAACCAACCCGGGACCGGAACTACGAACTAATGGTCCCGGGCTAAGTGGGCCTGTCCCGGGCCTATGTGGGCCCACGGATACATTCTATTTTTTTTTTTTAAAATTATCTAAGGCAATTCCTTGTAAATTATATTTATAGAATTGTGACCTCAATTTTTTAATTCAAATTTGAACGCAAAAAATATTGTAAAGAGATATTCAAAGCAATGCGTTATAATTTTATAATAGCATTAACAAACACATGGCAATATCTTTCTTAGTCTTCCTCCCCCCATGGAATGAGCACAACAAGGTGCTAATACCACCATTGAGAAGAAAAAGAAATTAATCAAGATGTGCCAAAATACAAGTTACATATTAATTTACATGGTATCTCTTACAAATTTCATAAATCCTTCAAGGTTCAAAGGAATTTTTGTTGGTGGTGGCGGAAAAGAAGCTTGTTCATCACTGCTTCCGGGCGAAGCAACATCCTCCGCAAGTTCAGCTAGCCTTTCTTCGTAAGCTTCGTCTACCTCTGATTGTGATTCAGCAAGTCCAAAATTTCTTCGTTCCGAACAGATCCAATCTCAAAAAAGTACTAATTTTTCCAAGCTCCCCCTCATAGACTCTCTATAATCACCGAGTTGAAGTCTTGCTTGACTGAAAGTGCTCTCCGATGCCACTGTTGAAGCTTGAATAGTTAAAATGTCTCGGGCCATTCTTGAAAGAATCGGAAAGTGTTTTTCTTTGTCCTTCCACCATTCCAAAATATTAAAGGAGCCGCCGGGATTCACCTCCTCAATTCCTTGTGACAAATACACTTCAAGCTCATTTAGTTGTGAAAAATCACTACTACTAGAACCTTGAGAACCCCTGAATCCGGCCCAAGCAGTAAGTGTTCTTACTCCCGCAGTTTTTTTTAGATGATTGAGAACTAGAAGAAGAATGAGTTGGAACATTTGGTCTAGTGCTAGAAATAAACTGCCCTGTGTGACGTGAATTAATTATTCTATGAGCAATAATGTGCTTTTGCATTATTCAATCCTCATCAATCCAATGATTGGTAACAGTACAATAATCACAGTCATTACCATTTCTACCAATATTAATAGTAATAGCAACACGAAATTTATATGAGTAAATAAATAGCGCAAATATTGTTCATATTTATGTTTATATTTATAAATATCGCTCTTTACGGTTGGCGAGGCCATCCTTTATAAGTATGATTAAAAAAATTTCTAATATAATGCACAAAGTGAGGGTTAGAAGGAAAACTATAGGGTAAGCACATAACAGTAACCATTTTTGCCAATTTTTCCCGATCTTTTCTTGGAACATAATATAAAATACCACCGGTAACAGTGTTAATTCCCGGTTGAGATTGATTTGACCCGATACTAAGGTCAGCCTGATTAGGTACACTTGTCCCCTCGTCCAAAGCTTTCATACGAAGATTTTTAACTTTATCTTGAGGGTGTAGCAATATGTGTCTCCTCAAACCTCCTGTCCCCCCCGACCTCCAACATAATTAAAAGCTAACTCTTTGCCACAAGTTTTACACTTAACCCTAATTTTTCTCTTAGTTGAGTAAAAAATGGCCAAACAAGAGATGTTTCGCTCCGTTTAGAAGGTTGTCTAAAAAAAGTAGGGGTAGTAACAGGAGGGTCAGACGGGGCATCATTTGGATTATTGTTAGTTGGGTTACCTTCAACAACATGACAAGTGGGTGTATCGTCATCCGGTTGCGTTTCATCAAAATCTATTTCTTCATCATCATTTTCATCAATAGTTGGATTACCATAAAGAGCATTCATATATTCATGGTTTAATTGTTCACTAGCTCCAACATTATACAAATATTGACTCACAGTAAATTGTAATAAAGTATTATCACTATCAAGAATAGCAACAGGTGTAGGATGGGTATGGGGTTTGGGTAGGGGAGCCCGGGGAATTGGAGGAGGAATAAATTGGCCACTAGATTCACCACTCTTGAATTTTCCCTTATTTTTACTAAACATCTTTTTTAACGAAAAATCCATCTTAATTAATCAAACAATACAAAGTAAATAAAACAAACAAAACATAATATTAAAACTTAAGAGTTGGAACGAACGATGCTCTTTTGCTTTTTATTTTTTGTTTTTGTTTTCCTTTTCATTTTCCTGAGCCGAGGGTCGATTGGAAACAGCCTCTCTGCCCTTTCGGGTAGGGGTAAGGCCTGTGTACGTATTACCCTCCCCAGACCCCACCTTGTGGGACTATACTGGGTAGTTGTTGTTGTTGTTGTTGTTAAGAGTTGGAACAAGTTTACCGAATTGACGAACAACTTGTTGAAAATTAATTATCGTTGAAGACTTGAAGACTTCAATTCACCAACTTCACAATTTTTCACAAATTGCAACAATAAAGTAAGCAATTATAGAAGAAAATTAGAGAGAGATTGCTTGAGATTGATGATTTGGTGAGAAAAATGAAAGAGTAAGGGGGTATTAATAGTTAAAATAGGGAAAAGTATAATTATAAAAAGTTTGGGGTTAAAACAAAGTTGAGGGGGTTAAATGGCTATTTTGTAAATAGCCAATGGCTATTTTGGCAGCCCAAACGACTACTTTTTAAATGCCCTAATGAGCACATTTTTTTTAAATTTAGAGCTGTTGGGCCCGTTTAGGACCAGTTGAATCGGCTCACTTCCCAGCCGGTCCCAGTCCTAAACGGTCACGATCTCGCGGGCCTAATGCACAAGACCGGCCCACTACCCAGCCCACCTCCCCACGGTCCCGGTCCTATCCGGTAGGACCGTTTAGGCCCACAGCTCATATGGGCTTGCGGTCCTGGGCCGGGCCCGGTCCTAATCGGCACACATGCCACCCTTAGCGTAACTTATTTGGCTTTGAAATGAAACTGTGTCCATACATATATTCATATAAAGTTATAAACGATACCAATCGATTGAGGTTAGTCGAATTAGCCAAAAAATAGTGTGGTTTCAGATATTGTCGCTAAATTGATATCAGACGACAATGTTCAAAAGATATATTTTTAGATTCAAACTTGTACTAAGGACCATGACACCTAAAAAAAAAAAAAAAATACTTGACACTAATATACTGAAGAGTTAATAGTTTAACATCTCCAAAACTATCATTGTATTGCGAATTTTGTACCTAAATAACTGGGTATTTGTAAAAGATAAAATTACATAATAATGCACTCCATAAGTTGACCTTGCACTATTTTAGCCCAGTTACAAGTTTGTAAGTGTGTAGCCAAATATCAATAAGATCTTTTCTTTTCTCATTCCCTCTAATTATAACAATCTCATTTATTCCTACCTACCCCTATTGTAGCTCTCTCCTTATGTTTCACCCATAAATATTTAATTTAATTAATAAAAAAGAATCATATGCAAACAGAAATCAGTTCCCCATTTTTAGTGTAACCATTGATCGAGACACTCAGTCAACACTCATTCGTGCCTTCTTCTATAACCAATACTTCTTCAATTTTTTTTTTGATTTTGTATATCTTCAGGTTTATACATACCTATCACAACTACAAAACGCAAAAACAGACGCGAGAAACTTAAAATCTCATCTCCTTTAATGCTAATCTTGATAAATTTCGATTATGATTTTGTGAGAAATTTGGAGTGGGTATTGTTTGAACTTATAGAAATAGTCTAAGTAGGTTGTATACAAAGTTTGAAGTTATTTGCTGGAGATTTGGACTAGTTTTATATAAGAATTGCAAGTGAAAATCGTACAAAAATTTCGTCAGAGATGCTTATACACTTTTGTACAATGTTATACACTTTTATACAAAGAGGTACATTATGTATATAGTTGTATAAAAGTGTATAAAGATGTATAATCACAGAGTGAAAATATTCTTGATACACTATGTATATAGCTGTATAAGAAGAATGAGAAGAAGAAAATGCGAGAAACACCAAATACTTGTAAATAATGTATCAACCTTGTATATAATAGTGTATAAGTGGTGTTTATACACTATTATACACTATTTACATAATATTATACATTATTATACAAATGAATCCTATCAATGGAGCTTCACGTGTTCTTCTTCTTCCTTGGACATCCTCTGAAATTTTACTCAAATATAGCATAAATCTACTCCAAATCACTTGAAATTTAAGTTTTGAACTCATCTTAATGATTCCAATCAATTGGGACAACACCCATTCCAAACAACTAACAAATCGGAAAACTCAATTTCTGAAATCGAATCTTCGAACCACCTGTAATGGTGACTTTTATTTTTCAAATCCTTAGTTAACCATTGAAATCTGAAAAAGAATTGAAGGAGAATAACTATAGTAGAGAAATCCTGTGGTGCAAAGGTTGACACGGGAAGAAGAAGAAGAACGAAGAAAAAAGGGAAACGAAGGAAAAAGGGGTGGGCTAACTGGTGAAAAGTAATTTTCAAGTTCTTCCGTAAGGATGGATTCGGGCTTAAGGATCGATGGACTTACCAGCCTTGATCATTACAAAGGGCGTTTATGTACAATCTGGGCTACACTAGGTAAGAGCTTCAAACGTGGGCTATTTTCTGATAGTTTGTTGGGCCAAGTGACAAGGGATGTAGTTCTCCCTTACTAAAACTCCTATGAACTCATATTAAAATACTCCCTTGGGAATATTTTAAGACTTATTTTTAAGACTTTTCATATTACACGTGCCTCTCAACAAGTTATTCTACATATTTATAGTCCATATGAATTAACGTCTAATTTAGGTATGAAACTCACAAAGTGACGATTATTAACCTATTGACTCTACACTGAAATATTAGTTCCATTGATCTTGTTGCATTAAACAAAATGTCCCGATCATTTCCCCCTTTGCATATATACTCCTTTTTCACTCTTTTAGCCATCATAACCAAAAGGTGAAATTGATACTACTATTTGAAGTAGTGGAATAAGCAACTCATTTATTAAATCCAACTCGGATTACATTACATTATGTAAATCACTTCGAAATTGCAGACAGAGTTACCTAGAAAAACCCTTTCATTTTCCCTTTTCCTCCTGCGCAGTTCTTCTTGATTTCATCATTCAGAGAGACAGAGAGAGGAAAAAGGGAGGCAAACAAACATGTCAGGCGGAATCGCGCGTGGTCGACTTGCTGAGGAACGCAAGGCATGGCGTAAGAATCACCCACATGTACGTCCTTTTCTACTCTTTATTTATACCCTCTTCCTTTCAATTTTTTTTTATTACTATGTCTATTCATACACAGTAATGGGTTTTAATTTGATGAGTATGTTAACTTTATGGGTCGCTTCTTTTCTTTTTTAGGGTTTTGTGGCTAAGCCGGAAACAGGTCCAGATGGGTCTGTCAATTTGATGGTGTGGCATTGTTCTATCCCTGGCAAAACCGGGGTATGTGAAGTTTCTTCCTTTCTTCACAAATTTCTCCTTTTTTTTTGTAATTTTTCTGGAGATGTTTTAGTAGTATTAAAAATGGAAAGCTAGAATATTCTGATGATTTGTTTCTTGGAAAATCTCCATTCCTTGTCCATAAAAATCTCGGTGTTTGCATGAAACCACATCAATTTATCACGGTTAAGTGATACACATTGGCGGAGCCACATACACACTGTTTAGATAGGTAAAAACTACTGATTTGTTATGTATATATTGAATCCCTTGGCTTCTTCGTGTATTTATTTTTTTAAATTTTGACTCCCTTTAGTGATAATTTTGGCTCCGCTACTCGTGATACATTGAGAATTGAAATGTGGAATACATATTAGTTAATTGTGATTGGTTTGGTCCAAACACTGGGTGGTGGATAAGTTTTCTTCGGGTGGAGACGGAGTGTTTGTTGTGCCTAGCCTTTCTCTTGCATTTAAGAAATAGGTTTCCACACCTTGCATCAAAAATGTGATCTACAGGTCATCAACAGGACTACCATTGTGCCAAAGATCATCCTCTCCTCGTCCATGTTTAGGATTTTTTAGACTGGAATGTGTCTAGTTTCTAAAGAAGCCTTTTTTTTGTTGCTTGCTTGCTTTGGTATCTAAAAGTTAGTGGTTTTGCACTATAGTTAATCCTTTTTTTGTGCGTTGATGAGGATGTTAATTGATTCCACATTAATATGAAGAAAAGATAGCGGAGTTTAATCAGTACTTAAACACATCAGTTTGAATATATTTCACAGCCATTGTGGGAAGTGTTCAATTATATTGGTTGTGATTTACTTAGTTTTCTTTTGATTTACTTCACTGAATAGACCATTAAAGCAAGGAATTAAATAGAAGTGAAGAGAATTTGGTAATGGGGGTGGGAGCTGGGAACTAGGAAGTAGATTTGAGAGATCTACGTTACGTTTAGTTGGATGAGAATAGTTGTATTATACACTTTCTTTTCATGATTATGGATTAAGCTTAATTTCATCCACAAATGGAAAGTATTCTCTCCAATCAATTGATAATCAATAAAATTACAGTTCCTTTTATAAGATTTAAAAAATACAAGGTTTCAGCTTGATCATAACAACTACTTGGAGCAACTTGCATATGCCTTTTATGTATCCTAATCCATAATCCAGGACAATATCTTTTTTCCTATGGTTGAAGATGTTAGATTCTCCATAGGAAAAAAAGGGAACAAATATTGCATTGGAAAAGAAATAATCTTTGGGTAGGGGGTTGAATTATAAAGTGCCATGCATTAAAAAAACAATATCAACCTGAACGGACTCTTCAGGAATCTATGAATGAGTGAAAAATTAGACTTCATGATGTTTGAAATGAAGAAAATCTTGATCCCTTAGGTGAAATATTATGTAGTCTAGTATTGCATTTAGAAATCAGGCAACAAACAGGTCTGTCTTGAATTATCTAAAATCTATAAGAAAGACCCTTTGATGGTGTTCGCAAAATGCATCTTACTGAATTATTCATAAAGGTTGTAGTTAGTGATTTTATGAATGGCACTGCCAGCTGTAGACCTGAAATCAATTTACAGTTACTTTATGGGAGTCACTTAAGTCCTTGGAATAGCATTTGCATTTTGGTATTGAGAGGGCAGGCGAAGTGGTTCTTATGTTGTGCTAAACAATGTGAGAAAGTTACTCATACAGCCTGGTAAAGTAAGTCTGTGCATTTTTCCTGGATTATAGTATAAAACGTAAGAAGAACATGAACTTTGCAAGAATGCAGAAGACCATTTTCCCGAATACCAATAGGGTTTAAACTTTAATAGCTTTAATATAAATTAATTGCATAAGAGTGAGAGGATGTTGCGTTGAAATGCTTGCTTTTAGTTAGCGCCGCCATTTGTATTTTCTTTCCTTGACCACAAAGAGAAAGTGCTTGGTCTTAGTTCTGTTAGTGACTTGCAGTTAACAATCATGCGACAATCTTTTGCGCATGGCATATGCAAATATCTCTCTCTCTCTCTCTCTCTGTCATCTTGAGTTTCAGGAAGATGCTAGTTCTAGAAGCTTTTGGGAAGTTTATCTTATTAAAAAAAATTGGGAAGTTTATGGTTTTAGTCATAGTTAGGTCATTTAGGTTTTACCACCGAACACAATTTACAAGCCTGAGCAATAATGACATGCAATGTTGTAACTGGCACAGACTGACTGGGAGGGCGGCTTCTATCCAATAACAATGCACTTCAGTGAAGACTACCCTAGCAAACCACCCAAGTGCAAGTTCCCTCAAGGTTTCTTTCATCCTAATATCTATCCATCAGGAACAGTATGCCTGTCTATCCTCAATGAGGACAGTGTAAGTTCTTGTCATTGCTGTTGTGTTACTTTGTCAGTCTTGTTTGATATAACAGCTTCCATTTGATTCTTGCGTTGGCTATAACCTTCTTTAGGGGTGGAGGCCTGCCATTACAGTTAAACAAATTTTGGTGGGTATCCAAGATTTGCTTGACCAGCCAAATCCTAATGATCCAGCACAAACTGATGGTTATCAGCTATACATGCAGGTAGTCTACTCAAGCTTGACAACCTTTTTTTAAGAAAAAAATTTAATTAAGTTGACATTTTGATTATCGAAACCTTTTACCATGATAGCTTTCAATTCTGAATTATGTACATAGATGCCTAGATAACAATTAATTTTTACAGTGTTTGAAATCAATAGAAAAATGTTTGAGATACTGTTGGATTGTAGAAGGGATTCCAAATGACAATTAATTGCTTCCAAATTATATTGAAATTATTAAGAAGAAAATTAACTTTCGGTTTCCATTCAGAGAATGTGGTGCATTTGAAATGCGATATTGGAGTGAACCATATAAATCCCTGTTTAGCTTGCCATTACGATATGTGAGCTTGCTTTTGCAGGATACTGCTGAGTACAAGAGACGAGTGAGGCATCAAGCCAAGCAGTATCCAGCTCTTATCTGACATTAGTTGTATTGAACTATATAATTATGTGATGTAGTCCTTATGGACATAGTGGTTATGTGGCTAAAATGGTGCTTTTCTTCTTTATGATTCAACAATGAATATAGACAGTATGCAACATGCATGCTATCTGTTATTTTGACTGCATGGTTGGTGTATTATTTCTGGTTTTACTTGCAATTCCTTAGACAAAGGCTTTGTTTTTCTGTGCTGACGATCCGTTAGTTGCTGATTGTGTGAAAGCAAAAAGCAATCTACTGGTCGCTATTTGTTTATAGAAGAAGGGTCAAAGGCCAAAGGATGATAAACTTCTCTCTCAGGTAACTGACTTTTCTTCATGTCTTATCACATACCCTGCTGTCACAAAAATGGAAAAAATAGTGATCTTGGAAGGTTAGATGCAGCTCACTTTTGTTAATAGCTATATTTGAGACATGGGGAAGTATTGCGTAACACTTGAGATTTTGTCATCTATAAAATATTGCTTGAAACGTAACATGCTATTCTGTTTTCCTTTTATTCTGTCTTGTGATACAAGCTGAGGTCAGCATCCTTGATGCATATTTTGGGAAAATTTAGGAGGTCAGGACATTAAATTTTGGATTACTTTCCCAATGTGCCAAAAGCATGACACTTGAGCTCCTGTATTACTGCTGTTAGATGATTATAAGATGAGCCACCTTCTTCTACAGCCCTCTTAACCATTGCTTCGATGTCTTTTCCTCTACTTCTGATCTTTTCACTTTCCATGGAGGTGCTCATTAACATTTTCATGCTCTCCTCTATCTTCTCCTTCTTGACAATTTTATCCTTGATGTCAAAGGAAATGTGCCAGACCTCTGCCCCAACCCCAATCCCACATCCAAGAAGCTCTACCAGCTTCTCATTGTAGAATTGCTCTGCGAACAAGGGCCATGTAAGCATTGGCACTCCGGCTGTGAGAGATTCCAAGGTGGAATTCCAGCCACAGTGAGTCATGAACGCTCCAGTCGCTGGATGGTTCAAAATCTTCAGCTGTGGCACCCAACCTCTGGCAATCAAACCTTTGTTGTTTGTAAGCATCTTTTGTTCAAAGCCAATTGGCAGCCAGCTTTCTTGCTCATTTTCCTGGGTTTTGTCTCCCTTTCTCACCACCCAAAGAAATGACAAATCCGAGGCCTCAAGAGCCAAGGCAATTTCAGTGAGCTGAGCATCAGAAAACCTTCCCATACTTCCAAAACAAATGTACACAACAGAGTTTTGTTTTTGAGAATCAAGCCAACTTAGGCTGCTGTGTCGCTCTTGAACTGCAGTGTTTCTTGATTTGCTAATTGCCTCTTCTCTCTTTGAAAAATGAAACAAAGGTCCAATAAGCCATGGTTTTTTACCTTTGATTTTCTGATAAAGCTCAGCATAACTAGGCTCTAGATCATAGATAGTGTCATAAATCATGGCATAGCTCCGAGGTTCTGATTCTTTAATTCTCTTCATCAAATCCCAGTATGGTCCTTCAGGTTTGGTTTTCACATCGTCTGGTAGTTGAGATCTTTTCATTTCAATCTTATCAGGCAAACCCGGAACCAAGAAACTTTCCGAATCTGAACTTACCTTCTCATGAGGGGTATACAGCTTCAAACAATGTTCCACACACTGGAACATAACGTTTGTCGGGTAAAACATTAGTCTAGGTATCTTCAGTTGCTCAGCTACATCCACAGTCCATGGAAAGAACAAGTCTGAAATGATGCTATGGGGACGAAGCTCAAAGATAAGATCTTCCATGGGTTTTTGCAGCAAAGCAACACCCATAAATACACCTGTAGCCATTTCTGTGGTTGTGGCTGCACTGAAGTTCTCAATCCCTTCGGGAATGCCAACTTCAGCTGATGGGAATTCGAGTTTGTGAACGTATATTTGGTGGCCAGAATCGATGGCATGATCGGTGGAGGACTGGAAAAGGAGGGCGTTATAGGGGGTGGTGATAATACTAACTTTTATACCATGGCTAGCAAAGAGTCTGGCTGTATCAACTAAGGGGATCATATGACTTGGTGTCAAGTATGGAATGAAAACTACATGGAGTTTACCATTTTCTTGCGTCATGACTGACTAGTAGTCACTGGTTAGAGGGCTTTGAAAATGGAGGAATGGTATACCTACACTCATATAGCTTATTGGGCTTAAAAAATGTTGATTAAGTTTCATTGAAGTCACCGCCGAGTTGTTGTTGATCGTTTGACTGGAGAATATGTGGTAACAAGAAGACTTTGGCCTGCTTTAACTAAGAGAGAATCCAAAGGGAAAGCTATATACTCAAAAGTGCCCATTTTTAGACGGTTTTGACTTGTATGGACACCCTTCAATCACATAGGAGTACTATTTACTCGCTTTCTAACCTTAAAAAAGAATATTAAAACTCCATTTGGCCTATTGTACGGTCACTGGACTGCAATAATCGCCAGCAGCAGCAATAGGGGATTCTGCCGCCCGAAGTACTGTCTTGTTTGCATATCGGATCCTCCAAAAATTATGTGTATTTTTGGAAGATCCAACACAAGTGTGGCGATATTTTTGAAGGATTCGAGTAACATAGCCGACAACAAACATCCTAGTTTCATTGGCAGTAGCACTAATATTGCAGGTGGCTATAGGTTTGGCCAAGCTTCTGATTCATATTTTGAGAAGTGCTTTTCAAAAAAAGTAATTTTGACGAGAAACAGTTTGTGTTTGACTACTTAGTTTGAAAAGTACTTTTGAATAGTAATAAGTGTTTGGTCAAGCTTTTAAAAAGTGCTTTTAAGTGTATTTTTTTCAATAGTACTTTTCAAAAAAGTGTTTTTGGGAGAAACTACTTTTTTCTGCTCCTCAAAAATGCTTCTACATCTCCTCAAAAGCACTTTTTTTCTTTCAAAAGCTTGGCCAAACATCTTAATTTTAGGAAAAAAACTCTTTTGACCAAAAAAAAAAAAAACATTTTTGCCTCAAAAGAAACTTGGCCAAACAGGCTAATAAGTGCTAACCTCTTTCTCATATATGTTACACGTTTCGCTGGTCTTTAAATTGTACTTAACTATAACATCCCCACCAACCTGGTCCTCTAGAAAACCCAAGTTTTAGGCACTTGTTTGAATTAACAACCAGTGGCTTATTATTACTTTCACTTTTGAATGCTGCCATTAACAAAAAGGACTTGTGAATGAAGTGGAGCTACCAGAGATTTGAGAGTTATACCTTTTGTGAAGTCATTTCTTCATCAACCTTTAATTAGTCCAATAAATAGATTAGATCCGTTAGCTAATTTAAGAAATTGGTGCCTAACAGAAGTTTATTGAATGAATATGGAAGTAACGATTAATTATTTTCCTTTCTCACTTATTTAATCAAGAAAGAAGAAAGGGCCTATTGAAATTTGAAAGCAGTGGATGAGAGATTCTCGTGATTAGAATAAGTAAAGATTAGATCAATCAAAGAGAGTATTACGAGTCCTCTGTCCCAAATGCATGTATCTAGCTTGCGTAGTTCACCAGTTCTTCATGGTACAAATTGTATCTTTTTAACTATTGAATTCTCTCATCATGGCGTAGCCACGAATCCCGCAAAGGATGTTCAAATTTTAAATAAGTCAATAATTATTTTTGTCCATGAATGATATACCAAATTTTTTAGATCAAATTAAGCAATATTTAGCTAAACAATTAAAAAAATTAATAAAACTATAATTTTAAGTTTTAAGAGTTATTTTATTAGAATTTTTTTTTTAGATTGAAAAAAAAAAATTAAATAGACCACACATGGTGGTCTCCGTTTAGTTTTGGCAAATAAAATGGATAGAACTTTGAACTCATGAACGACACGCCACATTGAACACCCTAAACCAATGACTGCCTCACTCAACTATATTATAAGTGTTCAAAATATAATATATAACTATATAAAGTATAGTATTTAACTATATATGCCGTATAATTTTTCGGCGAAGGGTATGCACTTGACCACCCTTGGCATAGGGTAGCTACTGTTTAACCAAAAAGTTTCAAGCCTTTTTATTAAACTAATTAAACAAGAAGGTATGGGGTAAATCCTAGCCAGAGATAATTTATTCTAGATCTGGGATGGAAGACAAGAATAAATAAGTATAGTTGGACGTAAAGTTCGATTACAGTCGCGATTGTATTCCATGGTGTAAGAAAATGAAGATGGCTTCAATAATATCAAATGATAACGACAAATACATAAAAGAAAAGAATCACCATTCTTAAACTAGATAGACCTCCATACATTTGATAAAGTTGAATTACAGATGAAGTGTCGATTTTGAGGTTTAACCCCCTTTTGGCGAAGAGCTTGGGAGGATGGAACATCTTCTCCTTCAGAGGGATGAATATCCCTATCTCTGTTCCCCCCTCTCCCCTTTTTCCTATTATCTCTAATGATATTTATACAAAACGCTTTCCTTACCCAGCGGTCTTTAAACCTAAGTTTTTGGAATATCTTCTAGAGTATTCCCCTGAAATGTCTAAGTGTCGAACTACCCGTTCGAGCGGAACTGAGTACTCGACCGTAGCGGAATCGTTCGTCGATATATTGCTTCCTGTACATGACTTCGGCTTGGTTGACTCCTGGTCGATCTTCCTTAAGTAGAGTTCCTTTAATCAGATTTCGACCTATACAGCTACGCCTATGCCACTGTCATCAACCACCAAAGATTGTAGTAGGAGGATAAAATTCCTCTCGTCTTAATCAAATGAATCGGATTCGAAATGAAAACAACTCTTGTAAGGAGTTCTTTCCCGATAATAAGGCTTATGTAACGCGGATTTGAATTAGCCGGAATCTCACGAAGGACACCAATAGAAATACGTAATTGGCTTTTATAATCCTACTAGATCAGCTGTCAATATAATCAAAATGAGATGAAAGAAAGTGGAAATTAGAACTTAAAACAAAACAAAGGAAGTGATTGATGAACCACTCATCTCCCTCTTGTTTAATTGGACCACAAATCACTCTCGATTCTCAGACACCCAAGTAGCTGATTCATGCACCACCGAGTCACCGACCAGCTAATTTTTTTCATTTCCATAAGTCATATAACCTAAGATGTTTACGATTTAATTATTAATTAATCATCCCACCTAAATGTCCCCTCCGGCCACTTGGCAACAAACTAGCCATCGTCATCTTGATCATTACTACCAGTTTAGACAAATGAACGGTAGATCTTATTCCCCACACACTTCTACTTTAGTTGTGTTTCGAAAACATAGAACACGGGACAACAATATAGAACGTAACATTAGGTTTAGGGAAAAGATTCTCGTCCAATAATAACAAAAAATTCAGTATAATTTCACTTGTAATGTCTAAGAAAGATAATATATGTGCAGACTTTACTTGTAAAGGTAGAGATATTTTCGATAGACCATCAGTTAAACAAAAAAAAGCAATAACACAATTGTAAGATATGATAATAAGGAAACTGAAACGAAATAATAATAAAAATTATAGTTATGTTTATCTTTCTTTAAATTTTCTTGGTCCTATTCTCCTCCATCCCGTCATATTTTCTTGGTGGTCCTTGTTACTGTGTATACGTGCGTATTCTTTTTTTATTCCACATTACTGTATGATAGTAGTATATATTATTTAAAAAAGTGGACTAGTCTTTCTTTTACTTCGATTTGTTCATACTTTTTAAATAACATTAATCAACAAAATCTATGGGTTGTGTATTAATTTTAATGTAATTCAATATTAAAAAAAGTATGTACGAATTGAGACGGCTATATATACGCACAGCTGCTCCGGTGTCTGTATACATTCCCACCACCTCCATATAAATACTATAGCTGGTGTTCATCTTTCTTTAATTTCTCCCTCGTCTCTTTCTTATTCCTTTTCTTTCTTATTTTTGGTTGAAGATGGAAGGAGGGTCATGTTGTTCAAGAATAGAGAAGGAAAACCAAAGGCAAAATAGCCAACAAGAGAAGCCATAAAGAGGAATACGCAAGAGGAAATGGGGAAAGTGGGTGGCTGAAATAAGAGAACCAAATAAAAGGTCAAGAATTTGGCTAGGTTCTTACTCTTCTCCAGTAGCAGCTGCTCGTGCCTATGACACTGCTGTTTTTTACTTGAGAGGCCCTTTAGCTAAACTCAACTTCCCACAATTCATAGTTAATGAAAATCATCAACTTCACAACCAACTTTCTGCTTCTGATATTCGCAAGAAAGCTACTCAAGTTGGTGCCAAAGTGGATGCTATGCTGCAAACTGCAACCAATTCTACAGAGTCCAAGTGGTTATCAATGAAGCCAGACTTGAATGAATATCCAAGTCCAGAAACCTGGGAGGAATTAGCTATATAATTGAAGCCGCAGTTCTTTATCTTTAATTTATGGCTATATAGATGCTTTTGATTCATGTTCTATGAACATAATCTGTAACTTTAATGTAGTTGTACCCTATCCACAAGAAATAACAACCCAACTAGCTATAGGCAATCTTGGTTTTAGTACTTAATTTTCTGTTGGGAGTTTGTAAAGTTTGATATTTAACGTTGTTTTCTTTCTTTTCCCAATCTTTTATACTGTTCCATTCAATATTAGTGTATATGGTTGGAAGGACTTTGGGCTTGGGCTACCTGATGAGGCAGAGACCATAGAGTGGAAATGCAAGAGATGGGAATTGAATCATAACTCTTTGGGTTGCTCATATGGTCAACACTTTCGCCAATAATTTCAAGGTCCTGGGTTTGAGTCACCAATAAAGCAATAGTTCTAATAAAGGGGATGAAAAGAAAATCAAAGGGCAAGAAGTTAAAAAAATAAAAAATTCATAGCTCATCAATCATCATCAAACCGACAAATCGCACCAACCCGATAATCCGAATCAAATCGAGAAAAAAAACCGACTATGGTTTGGTTTGATTTGGTTTGGTGTTGGAAAAAAAACCCGACCATATTTGTTGGTTTGGTTTGGTTTTAACTAAAAAAGGTCAAACCGAAACCAAATCAACCCGACATTATATGTATAGACATTTTAAATATATTTAATACATAAAAATATTTATTGTAGTGTAGTTAATAAATATTTCTTAAGTTTTTTCATTTTTACGTATTATTTCAAACTTGGACTTATAATTTTTGGATGATCCAATAAGTCTTATAGTTCATAAATATTAGTAACTCAAATAAATTCTAAATCAATATCAAATTAATATTAATGCTAATAAAAGATATTCAATGCAATTGTACTGTGAATGAAAATAGTGTTGGATATTTATTTTTTAGTTTTTTCGTGGTTTAGATAAAATGCATAACTTATTTTTCTTTTAGTGTTTAGTCATGTAAATAATACTAGTACTTATTAGTCGTACTTATTTTAGCAACTTATTAGTAATTTTAAATTATGTTTGTTTTTATTATGGCTTATTAATAATACTTATTTTACACGATTTTATTATCTTTATTGTTTAATATTTTAGTACAATGCCATAACTCATCTCATATTTATGTTATTTCATTGAAAAACACCTTATATAGTTATATCTTACTAGGATTAAAGAAATATTTGGAGCACAAATTCTATATTTTGTGCTATGAAGACTTTATGAAAAAAACCCGAAAAAATCCAAAAATCCAAAAAAACCGAGAAAAATCGAGGTTGAAAAACCCGACTTTTATTGGTTTGGTTTGGTCATTAGATTTAATAATCCGATACAATTGAC